TCCGGCGTGGATAACGGTCGATGAGCTTCTGGCTGACAGATGCAAGGTAGACAAGAAGTACACGCCGGTGATGACCAGAGAGCAAGTGGAAGTGTGCCAGAGCGAAAGAGTACAACAATTCTATGAGCGTTGCGGAAAAGTAGTTCGAAAACTTCTTGAAAATAACGCAGGTATATTTTTGTTCTCAGGGGTTGAGAAATTGTGTACTGTCGAAACCAGGTAAACACGTTTTGCTTATTAGTACACCGGATTGGGTGAAAGCGAAATGCAGCCACAAGAGGGGCTCGTCCACTCCGGCATGAGCGGACCAGAATCTCACGCTGTCCTTCTTATTCGCAAGTCACTCACTTATCGCCCGTGAGGTTAATTCATCGCTTTAACGGAATTGACCGTAAAGGCAAAGATCGTTCGTTGAACGGATTCGAACCCGGTACTTCCGGAGTTCAAAGCCAACCTCACAGTCACTGTGTCTAAATATCGCCCAATGTACCCAGTTAAAGGAAATTTTGCATCCTGAACGAATCACAAACAATTTAATATGGCATAAAGAATCAAAACAATAGGAATGAAGCATATGCATAATGAACCTTGCTAGCTTGATTTTCATTTAATATTCATTTGTGTCCCTTCTCTCGTCCATGAAATGTTTGTCACTGACAATAATACCACGCTAATAATGGCTGGTTTGACATGTAAACAGTAGCGAAACACAACTATGCGTATCCACCAAAGGTTTAATCGATTGGACATGGTCATCATAATCAAGAATTGTTTCGCATTAATTAATTAAGAATGAAGCACTATCGTATAAATCATGAAATAATAATCAATCAATTAGTATTAAGAAATTAACACTTTGGTCAAAGGTCTATGACAGTGGCTTTGTATCTTATTGATGGTCGGAGTTCGGTCAGCTGAAATTGTTTTCTAGTCGTTGAATAACAGGCAACTTTACATTAATCTCATGCAAGCTTACAAAATTCTGAAATAATAGAAAGCGAAGAGTATGAAAGTTTATAAAAAAAATCTTTTGTGATCCCGTGCCCGGATAACCATTCAACTCCTTCTTTTTGATCCACAGTCTGAGACTCATGGATGAGGATAATATTCAACGCACGATGCGTTTCATTACGGTACCAATCCGTAAGTTTATCGAGTAAGCTGCGTCGAGAAGTGAAAGACGCCTGACGCTCAGGGATTGGGGTTTCTCCAAATCACGAAGAATATAAAAGTGCCATCCTGCAGTTTCTGAGTATAATTTTATCTGTCGTTATGACGTGGACGTTGTTCTGAATAACCTCGCGTTTCTGCCTACATACGAAGCTAATCTTCAGGACATTGCGGACCAGGTCCTTCGCCTGAGTACCAAGGGACGACTGTTTTTTATATTAGCAGTTAATGTTTCATGTTTTTGTCACTATGTTACTAAACGTGCTCATAAAACACACTTTCCTCAATAATCTCATTCAAAGTACATTAAGTCTCATGGAGCATAGAGTAGACAATGCGAAGAAAGAAGTCATAAGATCATATTAGGTTCCTTCAAGGAAGTATATAACTGTGCACTGCACCGTCTCCTTCCTCCGGGAGGAATTTAAATGGGTCAAATTTAGACAGGCTTCCGCCCGATGGCACTTGAGTGCACCTGTAGTTGCTGATTATTAAAGATTGCAAATTTTCGTATATTAATTAGTTTCATATAATGAGAGTAAATAAATTTAAATAAAGCGATTTGTTTTGAAAAAAACATAACCTTAATAGGGTATGAGGTAGCCGTCACGTTGTGGTTTTTTAGTTCCGCCAGCTACCATAATAATTTAATTTTCGATATCTTTTAACTCAGTGTAAATGTACCATTACTTCTGGACGTTAAAGAG